CAGGTTAGTGACCAAAGTCACTAGCTGTGTGACGTCCTCTACTCAGTGTGAAGATGACTGTCCCCTGACACAGTGGCTCTGAGGCCTGAATGATGCTAGAAAGAAACTTGGAGGGAGGGGCGCTGACTCCACCTGAGGCAGAACATGAGCCTACAAGTTTGAGGCTAGCCTGGGCTACATAGAGGGACTCATCCTAGGGAAAAGAAAAAAAAAATCTCAGATGGACCTGGAGGACGCCACACCAGTGACACAGGCAATAGTACCTCCACAGTACACACTCCCCTGCTGAGCCCAGGACCCCTGCCAGACTTCCCATCAGAGGTACCGGATGATGACAGTAAGAACATCCTCGTCCGCACACAGCCGATGACGATGGCTAACTCATGTCTGGTGCAGCACTCAACATTGCTTCTCCCTCCTCAGCCCTGGCCACCCAGGAGGCAGCCATGCCTCCCCCTGTTCAGACCTGGGAGCCAGAGCTCAGAGACTAAGCATCCTTCAGGACAGCTAAGGGCAGCAGCACAAACAACCCCACCAGTCAGACCCAGCCCACACTTCGGTCCCTCCAACCCTCACTCTCCACAGCAGGCCTGTACTGGTCTAGCGCTGGGAAGAGCTCCTTTGGGGCGGCCTCAGAGCCTCCTCCCCCCCGGCTCCCAGGCCACTTCAGTGACTCTGATGGCTCAGAAAACTTTAAATTAATCACCCACTCAAAGTACTGCCACCAGCCAAAGAACAAGCGCCTCCTCAAGCATGCCTGGCTCCAACCTCGGGTGGCTATGGGCTCCCTCAGCAGTGGGGCTCACAGTCAGACGTCCAGCAGGGCTTCCTCAACAGGAAGAAGAAATGTGCTGGAGTGAGACAGACACACAGTGACCTAACCCAAAGGAAGAACTCCAGAAATGGAGGAGCAGCAGGTACCAGGGAACGTGAAAGGATGAAGCCATTCAAGCATAGATAGGTGGTCTTCACTCCCCCACTCCATACGAAAGAAAGACAGAAGCAATAAAGTGTCCCGGGTCATACACTCCAAGTCATCCCCAGTCACAGCGTGAAGGTGTTGGAGCATCAGGTTTCTGCAGTGCTGTCTGGGACGCTAAGTGTGACCTTGGAGGGGAGTGTGTCCTGTTCTATGCCTGGGTATACATGGCCACACACTGCAGGGTTGCGCAAGGGGGCTCTGGAGGCCCCTATGGGAGGAGTCCAAGCCACCCCCACTAAATCACATAGTCCCCAGCCTGCAGCCCTAGGAAAGACACAGCAGAAACTGCATGAAGAGAGTCACCCCTGGCCTGGCCCGGCCTAGCCCAGATGTTCAACTCTGAAGCCAGTGAGAATGTGGGGACAGCAGTTCCTTCTGGATGCAGCTGCTTGTGCATCTGAAACATCTGTGAGCTATGGTGAGCTTGACTGCCCTGGGAGCAGCTGAGAACTTTCCATTCAAGTCTATAAAGTCTTACCACTGCTCCCTGGCTGTAGGTATGTGGGGTGCTTGGGATATGGATAGAACACTGCCCTGGAGGGGTCTGGGGCCCCATCCAGCCGCGATCCGAGGATGACAGCTCTTTCTTGTGAACTACATGGCCTTTTCTGGTTTTTTTTTTTTTTTACTTTCCTCATCTGTCAGGTGGGGAGGATAACAGGGCCCACCTCACCAGGCTGGGAAGGTTGCATGTCCGCACGAAGTAAAAAATCTCAGTTCAAAGGGCCACGTCAGGTGGCCTCGGAGAGCAGAGGGAATGTTTCTGGACAAGGAGTGTGGACTTAAGGTCTGACACTCTGCATCAGTTATGATGCCACGTGACTTTGGTCTCCAGAGCCTTAGTTTTCTCAGAGGCAGAATGGGGCTGTCAGAGTGTGAGAACTGACCTGGTCTGGGTGTCCTGTGTGGGGATGACATCCAGCCCAGGCCATGTGTGTCTCACACACATGGAGGTTGGAGGTTGGGGTGGGGGACTCCAGGGTTAAGAGTGAACAGGCCCCTGGAGCTGTGGCCACCTCCTCCCCTCCTCCCCCCCCCCCACCATTCCCACAGTTTCTGACCCCAGGGACAAGGCTGAGGGAGGATGTTTACAGAGCCTTAAACCTTCACTTAGAGAAGTTTGCTGGGGGCTGGGAGCAAGGGCTGAGTGGTGAGAACTTCACAGGGGCCAGGGCAGGCAGCAGGACTTGGGGAGGGGGACTTGCTCTGATGCTGCCTTGCAGGTCTGGGACTCTGAAGGTGCTAGTGTGGTCTGATGGGTACCACAAGGAGTGAGTCTGCCCCTAGGGACGCACAGATGAGGATTTCACAAAGTGCAGAGAACTGGGGCTGGGGAGGGTGGGGATACTCACCAGTGGCCAGGGTAAAAAGGGCAAAGTGGCAGGACTAAAGGCCCCGGGACAGAAAGAGCTGTGAGGGGCACAGATGAGTGCCAGAGATGCAGACTTCATTCCTAGGTGCCAGGGGAGCTGTGAGTCCTGGGAAGCCAGCTGGCTGATGTGAGGGGGTGTCTCAGCACCCACCTCCCCAAATCCTTTCTCCTAGGCTCTTCTGTGGGGACTTCACTCACACTGTCCCGGGTCTCTGAAAACAGGTCCTAACTGGGGCTATGCATGAAAACTACACTCCCATCTTGGAGAGTGTGGGAGTTAAGTTAGAAGTGCAACTACAAGCAATTCTTGACAAGAACATGCAAGACCCTACCGTGAGAGGCTGAGAAACTCCATGTCTGGAACCCATAGAGGACAGGAGATTCCGCTGTGTAGGCTTCCCCCACCCCTGACACTAACACCCATTCCTCCCACTCAGACAGCCGCTAGCAGTTCACTCAGCTCTTTCCCACACATGAGACCCGGACTGTGGGATTTCTACTGGCTCTGATGACCTAAAGCTCAGACAGGCCCCAAAGCTAACACAACATCACACAGCATTTAATAGGTAGGGACTCGTGGCATCTTAGTCTCCTTGAGTTCCAGTTCCCGGAGACCCCTAAACACCCAGATGCTGTCACACCATGCTTCTTCCCCTAGAGCTCCAAGGAATGCCTCCACCCTAAGCTCCTAGAGACAAGTGCTCAGGACATAGGTGCCTCTAGCCAGGGCATTCCTGGCATCCGGAAGGGGCCGGATGTGGGGCAAAGGTGTCATCAGATTTAGCTCCTGGGAGGAAGGGGAGGCCCCTTCAAAGGAGTCATGGTCTCATTTAGGCAGCTCTCATCTCCAGTGACTGTCCTGGGGACCAAGAGGACAGGTCTACAGGCTGAGGAACCCAGCTCAAAGCCAACTGACGTCTCCAGGCCCAGCTCTGCCTTGGAAAAGTCACATCCAGGAAAGAAACTTTGGAAAGCATAGCTGTCTGTGTCTTGTAGCTTAGCCTCCATGGGCACATGAGGGGGTCTGTCGTGCAACTCCTTCACACACACACACACACACACACACACACACACACACACACACTGCTTTATTCTTTTCAAGGCTCTATTAGTAAATTCTACCTTCAGCTCTGGTGTGTTCATCCAGGGCTTTTGGGCGGCACATTGAGATGCGGGCTGCTCCTGACCTTATATCCTACAGAATCTTAATCTGAGGGGGTCACTGCATACAGTCACAGTTGCCACCTCTAGATACTTAGCGGTTCCCTTCCTCTAGTCCTCCTTGTGCCATCTTCCCCTCCCCTGAGGTCCTGTGGTCCCCACTCTCATGGGACAGGGGCAGCTGAGCATATACCAGTGGGGCAGGCAGAAAGTCTGCTCAAACACAGGTGAGAAAGGCCAGGTGGAAGGGTGGACAGGCAGGTGGACAGGCAGAGAGACAGATGACAGACACACAGGCATCAAAATGAATAACTGAACAGGCCCACATAGCATGGGAACAGACCAACAGAAGGCTGTGCGACAGACAGACAGGTGGACAGATGAACGGTCAGGTTGACACACACACACAAGGAGAAACTCAAGTCTAGCAGAGGCACAGACAGATGGTGACGTGACCAGCAGGTGGACAAAGTGGGCTGCCCAGGAGACTCAAGACTGGCAGGCGTGAGAGGGCTTCATAGCAAGCAGTATATTGTCCCTCCAGGGCACTCCTAAGCATCCCAGCACCAGGCCCAGTGCATTAACCAATATGGCCTGGGCCTCTCATATTCCTGACCCGGGCCAGGCTTTCCCCCAGACTGCCTTCTGAGCTGCCAAAATTCACTCTTTTCATCCAAGAGGGGTCAGTGTTTTGAAAGTTGTAGGAGCCTGCTGAGGGAAGGAGGGGCCCCACGGCGGCATGGTTTCCAAACATACCCCTCTCTTCTTTCTTTTTCCCCAAACCCAGAGCCAGGCCTAGTACAGCGGGCCAGCAAGGCAGGAGAGCTGGGCCGAGTCTTCAGGGCAAGGCAGGACAAGAGTGGCCGGGCAGCCAGGGCAGCCTGCTGCCTCTGCTGCTCCGAAGTTGAGGGTGCAGGGCAAGGTTAATGAACATACAGATAAAGTTGGAAACAGCACACAGGCCTGTCAGGGCCATCGGGACCCTAGACACCAACAATCAGAGGCCAGCCCTGAGCTGGGGACAGCCTGTTTCTGAAGTGGGAAATCTCCAAGGGGACCATGTGGGTCGTTACTGAGCAGGAGAGGAGATGGCAGGAAAATGTGGGGGCCAGGATCTTCTGTGTCTGGGACACAAGGGGGGAGAGGTAAAGAAATTAAGAGCCCACTTTAGTGGCTTCGGACTTAGTGGAGCAGAGAAGGGCAAGAGTAGCTGGGACAGCGGGGCTCGGCGATCAGGATGGAAGTAAGGAGAGGAGGCAGAAGAGGTCAGACGCGAGGGCAGCAGGGGTCAGTGCTGGGAGCTCAGGGGTTAGGGTCAAGCTGGGAGACTGAAAAGGGGGTTCAGGTCTGAGAAGGAGGGCTGGGGAAGTGCCACGGGGCAGGGGGCAGGAGGTGGAGCCAGCTCGAGGCAGCTGTACCCAAGGAGCCCGGCTCACGCGGGGTCAGCGCCGGGACACGCGAAGGGGCTCCGGGTCCCCAACTTACATGAAGACGTGGTAGACGAAGGCCCAGCCGCGGGGCCGCTCCAGCACGTTGTAGACCCAGTTCTGCAGGCGCCGGTAGCGCTTGTGCGCGGCGGAGGAGCGCTGGCCGCAGGCGGAGCCCGAGCCCGAGCCCGGCCCAGGGAGGGGCGCGCCCGGCGGCAGGGGGCTGCCCAGAAGGCCAAGGCGACGTGGAGAGCCGCCCCCGCCCGCCTCGCCCTGTTCGCTCTGCACGGCCGTGAGCGCCACCAGCTCGGCGCGGGGGGCGTCCCCGGGCGGGGGGCCCAGGCCGAGGCGGCGCGGGGGGGCCTCGGCCATGGGCGGCGCCGGGCGGGGGGCCGGGGCGTTGCGGGGCGGGGGCGCACTCGGGCAGCTCAGAGGCGCATGGCTCGAACCCCGGGCCGGCGAGGCGACCCTGGGCGCGCACGCGGGCGGCGGGGGCTAGGGGCCGGGCCGGGGCCGTACGGGGACCGGGGGCGGTCGCTCGGAGCCTCGGGGCCGCGGGAGCCCGTACTGACCGCCCGCTTCCCCGGCGACTGGGGCGGCTCTTTCCGACTCCAACTCTCTTATTACGCGCTCCATGCCGCTCGCCTTTCCACCTGCCGCCGGCGCGCCGCTCACATGTCACCCTCCCCCGCCCCGCCCCGCCCCTCCCCCGCCCGCCCCGCGGCCGCCTTCCCAAATCGGGAGGGAGCGAGAGAGGCGAGCGCGGGGAGGGGACCTGCGCTCGACGCGGCGGGGCAGGGCGCGCGGTCCGCCCAGTCGGTGTGAGCTGGCCCCGAGCGCGTGGTGCGGGTAGCGCGAGGGGCCTCGCGGTCGGGACTGTACTAGTGGTGGCCCTGGTGGTCGGCGCTGGGGGGGGGGAGATTGGGAGGCCTCGTGTGTGGTTGTGGAAAGTGGGGCGTGGAGTGTGGAGTTGTGGCCGCGGTCACGCGAGGGGCACTCATACTGTACAGTGAAGGTGTGTGTATCCAGGGAAGTGTCTACTTGTGCGCGCTGGCAGGCTACCCGTGGGTCTGTGTGGGTTCAGCGTGAGTGGATGGGTGGATGTTTGTATGTATGTATGTATGTATGGATGGATGGATGGATGGATGGATGGATGGATGGGAGTGAAGATGGGTGTGCAGAACCCACCAGTGCAGCGCGATGGGTGGTGTAAATGAGGTGTGGCCATCGGTTGTGCCCTTGGTTTCTTGTGTAGGGTGCTTAAAGTTCATTAAGCGCTGAGTGAGGTTGGGACAGCAGCTGCCACTCCTCTCGCTGCTACCTGAAGGGCCTAGTGCCCTACAGCTACCGAGATGTATGTAGTGGGTGTAGCTGTCAGCTGGGCCCAGATGAGTCTCTCCTGGAATCTTCCCTTCTTGGTGATGGAGGAGACCCCAGTTGACCACCCTAAGCATAGGGGGTGGTCCCCTTATCGCAGACCTGCCCTCTTTTCCCCACCCCATCCCCGCCTCTGTGAGGCCCCTCCCACCCTTATTCTATCCAGGGGACATTATTTAGGGTACATAGGAAGTATAGAAGTAAGCACTGAGCCAAACGTTAGGAGGACCGGACAGAGCCCTCCCAACGGTCCATAGTATCCCACCCGGACTTTCTCTAGGAGCAACCATCTCCAGAAGAAAATAATCAGTGCCTGACCAGCATCTTCAGTTGTGGGCTGGCTGGTTCCTTCCCTTTGCCCTGTGCTAAATGGTGATTCGGGTCTGCTGGCCCTCCTTCCCTCTTCCCCAGCCTAAAGCAGTGGCCAAACCAGCCTCTCCCTCCATAGGCCCTGCCCCAGGGTGAAGCGCTTCTGCAGCAAACTCTTCCCTGCTCCTCACTCCTCGTGGAGAATCTCGGGGGACACAGCTAACTGGAGGGGCGGGGGAAGGGGCGGGCTGCAAGCTCTATTCTCAGCTGTCAGCAAAGGCGGCATTGATCTGCCCAGCGTCAGTGAGGGAGGGCTGGAGGGAGAGCTGTGGACGGGGAGGGCATGCAGGATGAACGAGATCCCCAAGCTAGTCTTGGCAGCCAGCTGTACCGCCAACCCCTAGTTACCCTTTCCCCTCCTGCCTAGCTGGGGTGCTTTCTGAGGTCTGACCTGGATCTCTCCCACTGCTTCTGGTGCTGGGAGTGCAGAGCCTGGTGCTCCTGTGCAGGTCATGGGCTGACCTACTGACAGGAGGTTTTTACACCTCAGAGCCCCACTACTGGATGCAATGCCAGAGCTAGATGGAGCCTTCCTCTCCCTGTACACTGAAGCCAGTATATGCCCCTCCCCATATATGGCATTGCCTCCCCAGACTGTAACTGGCAGTACTCCGTCAGGGGTCTAGGAGTGGGCCTCAAGTCTGGGTTCAAACTGCACAATGGGAAGTGGTTGCTAGGTTTTGAGTCTTTGATCTTAGACAAAATGGGACTTGACTTCCATATTCAGAATATCTAAAATTGGGTCTGTGCTGGGAAATCTGACCCTCCAGTTCAGCATCACCTATGAACTGGTGCCTCTCTTCCCATGTGGGGCATCGCTGAGCCTCCTCTCCCTCACTGAGTGGAATGAACTCCCTTTTCAGAGAGGGGTGCTCATCAACTTTTCCAGCTCATGCTCTAGGTAACCCCCTTAAAGACTGGGGGAAGGTAAGAGGCTGTAGTTCCAGCTGGAGGAGTGCAAGAAGTTAGGTTTCAGAAGCAGCTCCAGGGTTCTCAGAGGTCATCATCTCTGCCGGTAGGCATGTCATGGAGGGTCACCTGCACTGGTAGTGAAAGTGGGGAGACACAGCCTGGCAAAGGTGAGCTGTTGTGTGTGTGTGCGTGTGTGGCAGGCAGAGAAGAGTCCAGAAAGGACAGGTGCTACTCTGGTGGCCTTCCTGTGCCCATCCGGATTCCCAGGACATGACAGAGAATGGACTTTCCCCCACTGCAGCCCTTAGTGACTAAGACACTTTTCTGAGCAAACAGCTGTCTCTGGCTCCAGGTCAGGCCTCCCTGATGGAGGGAGATGGGGTAATGAATGCTGTAGCTTCCCGCAGCCCATCCTCTAGCTCCTCTATCTATCCCCTTCACTCAGCAACTTCCTCACCACCAACCTGGCTCCCTGGCAACCCTGCCACTTTGCTCTGCTCTGTTCGACTCCTCCCCTGCCCCATGCTTCTCCCTGGCTCTGAGTTTCCAGGGCTGTATAAGAACAGGCCAACTCCCTGATCTGCTGTAATCCATCACTGTCTCCATCATCCATCAATGGAGCAGGTATTGATTGAGAGGAAGGGTGGGGAGCATGAGTGTTCCCGTTTGCTGAGCACTAGCTGTGGGCCAGGTCCTATCCTTTACAAAGAATACGGTCCAGTGCTTTGTGGGAAATGGGCTGAGAGGTAGGGGGATGCACCCAAAAATGTACAACCAGATGGTGATCTCAGATTGTCAGTGCCCTGCACTCTCCCAGCACTTGCACGCTGGGCCGGAGTGCTGTGCTGTGGGGGAAGGAATGGTTAAGAGTTGATTCTGGGCCTCTAGCACTGGCTCCTGCCAGGGGGTAGGATGCCCAGATCTGAAAGGATCAAGTAGCTGGCACCTTGGTTCTGAGGCTAGGTTCAAGACTGGTATTGACTCCTGTCATGACCTCAGGTCATTTCACGGCTCGGATTCCTTGCTGGAGTGGGAGGGTTAGCTTCACTCAGCAGTTTCCAGGCCCTGTCAGCATCAAGAGTCCTTTTTTAACAGAGTCATAAGGTGGTAGAGAACAGTTGGGGTGAGGGACTCCAGGTTCTACCCACCTGCCTATTTCTCCTCAATCTTTGATTGGTTGGTCTCCCTGCACAGATGGCTGCATAGTCCAGGATGTCTTGAATTTATAGCAATCTGCCTGTCCATCACCCAGTGCTGGGATTGTCAGTGTGTGCCACCTCACTTGACTTTCCCTTGAGTTTTCTTATGACTGCTGGATTGCTGGAGGCCCAAGGAGAGAGAGGCTGACACTGGCAGGGGCAGGAATGGAGAGGGCTTGGAGAGGAATAGGCTTTATCACTTAAAACTCAGCGAGGCCCCGGCTGCTCCTCTTTTAGCATCTCCCAAACATTCTGGAAGCTCGAGAGGTTCATACCTTTCAGGCAGCTTCAGGCTGAGGGAAGACTTGCCCAGTAGAGCATTAGGCTACAATGTGTATGAGTAGGTTGGGTCTGGGATGGAGAAGGTGTCTTAGGGCACAGAGGAGGGAGGAGTGTGACTGGCTATCAAGCCAGAGGTCTTGAACACCAGACTGAAGAGTCCAGACATCAGAGAGGGGGCTTGATCTAGGCACAGAGCAGAGGAGGGTTCAGGAAGGCTAGATACAATAATGCATGACGCCCCAAGTCAGCTGAGGTTATTATACAAATAGAAGGCATTTATCTTACTGTTCAGGTGAGACGTGGCAGAGGGTACTCATAGGATGACAGTATCACATCATGGCCCTTGGGAAGCCACCGAGGGACATGGAGACCTTCTCTCTTTTCCCTGTGCAGCCCAGAATGGACAGAAGGGATCAGACGAACAAAAGAGGGCTAGGGATCCGATTTCCCTAGACCTGAGTGTTATCACTCACCTTCTCCCCTAGACCAAGCTTGTCTGACCAGACAGTTAAGAACCATAGAAGTGGGGAGGGAGGAGTGTCTCTGAGCTCAGCAAAAGTAAATCGCCATTGATCTCAAGGCCCAGAATGGGGTACTTGAAGAAGACAAAGGAGATGGGGTGTGGAAACAAAGGTCAAATCCATTCCTAACTTGCAGGACTCCTCTGCCCTTGGGACTCTTCTTTCTCTAGGTACACGAGGGCTGGCCACGAAGATGACCATGGTGCTGGGGACTCCTGGCAGGTCCTTGGTCTCAGCAAGAGTCACTAGGATAATAGAACTGTTACAGTACACAGGAAGGGCTGTGTTGAGTCACCAAGTGTCTTTTGGAGGCTCAGATCTGTCATCCCAGCTACTCAGGAGGTTGATGCAGGAAGATCACAAGTACTGGATGGAGTTCAAGGCAAGGGTCTTAGGGTTTCTATTGCTGTGAAGATACTCTCTTATAAAGTTTTTATTGGGGTGACTCACTTATAGTTTCAGAGGTTCAGTTTATTATCATCATGGTGGCAGGCGTGGTGCTGGAGAAGGAGCTGAGTGTTTACATCTCGATATGCAGGCAACAGGAAGTAGTCTGAGACACTGGGTGTGGCTTGAGCATATATGAGACCTCAAAGCCTGCCTCCACAGCGACACATTTCGTCCAATAAGTCCATACATACTCCAACAAAGCTATACCTCCTAATAGTGTCACTCCCTTTGGGGGCTATTTTCTTTCAAACCACTACATTCCAATTCCTGGTCCCCCAAGGCATATATCATAATGCAAAAATGCATTCAGTCCAACTTCCAAAGTCCTCATAGTCTATAACAGTCTCAAACTTATTT